AGGATACATCAGTGGCGGATTCAGGATTTCAAGATAGGGGGTCCCAAGAAGTTCAAAAAAAAAAAAAAAATATTAGACTAGTTAATTTGCATTAGTGACGGATCCAGGATTTCAAAATCGGGGGGTCCCAAGATAAAAGTTCAAAAAAAAAAAATATTAGACTAGTTAATTTGGTTCCATATCATGATTTTTTATTGAATTTGGTTCATTGAATAATCAAAATTAATCAACCACATTAAGTGATCCAGTGGTAAGGACACGGATTTTGGCTCCCAAAATAGAAAAAATAGGGAGGTCCAAGGTTCAAGGCTCCAAGCTGGTGAGTCTGCTTGACTGTGGCTAGGAGAAAGCTAAAATGCCTTTGTGAGTCTTTCAGGCCCCTAAAAGGGGTGGATAACCATGGTTTGCCACTAGTTGTCCCGCTTTTTTAAATAATAATAATAATAATAATAATCGAAATCAAAATTAATCTCAAATGTAATAAAACCAATAAATTCTTCTTAGCAACATAACACATCAATTAATGACTCTACAAAGATGAAATTTGTTAATGTAACATATATATTACAATTGGGAGTTGAGACTAGAGTCTAGTATTAAAAAACTTAAATGAATTTGGAGGAGAAAGCTAAAATGCATTTGTGAGTCTTTCAGGCCCCTAAAAGGGGTGGATAACCATGGTTTGCCACTAGTTGTCCTGCTTTTTTAAATAATAATAATAATAATAATAATCGAAATCAAAATTAATTTCAAATGTAATAAAACCAATAAATTCTTCTTAGCAACATAACACATCAATTAATGACTCTACAAAGATGAAATTTGTTAATGTAACATATATATTACAATTGGGAGTTGAGACTAGAGTCTAGTATTAAAAAACTTAAATGAATTTGGAAGAAATAAAATTAGGCAGCTAGAGGTGGTGGAACAGCAAATGGTGCTGGGGGATGGGGTAACTTAAATTTAAAGTTAGGAGGTTGTGACGATTGGGGGTTGAGAGTTCTTAAATATAATTTGGGAATACTGGAAAGGACCGGGGTTCTCGGGCTCTATATAAAAAACAGAGATATTTTAGTTTTTAAATCTTTTATAATTACCTGGCTAAAAAACGCTATCGTTTCGGCTATGTCTTTTAAAACAAAAATTAGAAACCTCTTCTTCTTCGTTATAAGCATTGATGCATGCACATCCATGGAGGCAACAAACCTCTCCACTGCACTTGTCCAAATTATTGGAGGATCCTGAAGTTCGATCACAAATGTTTTTTCGAACTTCTGGAGGATCCCGATTCTCTAAATGGATCCGTCCATGGATGCATGACCGATCGATCCGAAACATTTGTACGTTTTCCTTGTTCTCGTCTCGTGATACTGTACCGTTAAACTTGGCCATGCATGCAGTTTTGTATCTAGCAATATGAAATCTTGAGCGGTTACTATTCTCAAAAGGAGAAAGTTCCATGGTGGCGATTCTCACACCCTTTATATTTTAGATGATGATTCTCTCCTTTCCCTTCTTCTCAAATTTCTTCTTCTTTCTCTCTCTATCCTTTTTCTTCTTTCTTTCTTTACAAAGATGAAACCTTGAGCGTTGAAACAACAACGGAGGAATGAAAAGAAAAAAAGAGGAGAAATAATCATTGTCCTTACTTTTGTGCTTTACTTATATGTGGGGTCCTCTTTTGTATATAGAAATTCTATATAAATCAACGAAAGAAAAGACCCTAAATCAATTAAAGAAAAGCCCTAATCATCAACTGAAGATAAATTCTAAAGGATTTGTAGTCAAAATGGTTCATGATGTTGACATAATTTCTCACTTTGGTCTTTGACAATGAACATTGATAGAAGTGGTCATTGAATTTGTCTACTATAAATCATTTTGGTCATTTCGTGAAAAATTTGTCAATATTCTTGTTAAGTGGAGGGGTTAGTTTGACAAAAATATCGTTAAAAAAGAGGTCACTTGGTTGTTCACATAACAATATGACGAAGATATCCATAGGTCAAGACAAGAATAGATTGATGTAACATAAGTGGTCGCCTTCATAAGGGTAAGGTTTCAGCGCAAAAAGATTACGCCCCCATATCTCTATCTCTCTACCCGGAGCCCTCCTATTCATATATCGGTGCGAAAAAGCCGCCTTCTTTTTTTTATCAGTTGGAAATTTGTCAGTCGAGCTAGTAACCGTTTCCCGTAAGTGAGACGAACTTAGAAGGGATTTGCATTCTCCTTTCCGCTTCTACAATCGGGAATAGGTCTGAGGTCAACTGTACTCTAATAGGTTTTAACTGCTTGGGCAACGCTCATCCCTTGTTTAAGGAATCGCTTCTTTTAATAGTATCTTTCTCCTTTGCCCGTGAATCCCTTCTCTTTCTTTTCATTCCAGTAAAAAGTCTTATACGGTCTGGCCTCCACGAAAGGACAAAAATAATTTACGATGTACAAACTTAGAAACCACTTCTTTCGATTTTTATTTTTAGGTACAAAATAAAGAATTATGTCAATCTCAGATATCATTTTGGGTAAAAAGCCAACTCTAAATAATCAACTATGGTTGTGATCCTTCGCAGGCTTTCGTGTTTACATCTCCGACATTCTACGAAAATTGTAACTTATAATTGGCCAAGTTAAAGTTATATTTAGGACATGAGTCCTTTCAGTTTGTCAAATTGTAAGGACAACATGAAAACACATAGAACATGTAATTTGGTCGCTTGAGTGGCCGGTGATTGATGCCGATGCTTTTGTCCAGACTGCCAAGTGCATCTGTATGAATAATGATCAATTGGAATTCCTTTCAGCCACTTTCAGGTGTGTGGATGAGATGTCTATGACTACAAATGAGTCGGTCTCTGGATGCCAGTGGCCCTGAGCCTTGGATTAGCATTAGAAGCTTTTGGATGCTGTCACAAGGGCACAACAACACAAGGGCCCCGGGTTTACTAGCAGCCACCCCCTTGACAGCACACCCAGTAACATGCACATGTATGCTATGGCTGGTCGGTCAAGCGTGTGAGTGACTTTCGACTGTTAATGCATGTAGCAATCATGTTGACGTTAGCAAAATCCACAATTTTGATATCTTTCTCGTGCATTTATAAGACATAATCCATACAATTTATAGTAAGATATTAATCCTAAGATTACAATCGATCAATGCCTCATTAAAAATCTCCTGAGGGTTTGTAATCTTTTCAAGAAATCGTATGGATTCAGTCTTATTTAACTACCTACCCTGGACCCTGCTCCTTATTTAACGAACAAAGTAGCACATCGCATGAGTCTAAGTCAACATGATTGGGCTTAGCCTAGTAACGCTATATTGGGCTTTATACATTGTTATTATTAACCTAAGGCCCTCAACAGGTTCCAAATAATTTTATTTATTTATAGACAATAGATAATAAATCATGGAGAGAGGAAGAGTTTAAACCTGAGACACGGTGGAAGATCCTATTCACCAAGGCAATCCATCACTTGCATTTCTATTTGATTAGAAAAGTTTAGGTCAGGCGTCCGCCCATGTTATCCATGTGAAGTGACTGCTTTTATTACAAACATACTCGTACAAATGATGTGATCACATACACCCGACACAATATGTTCTCCATTGTGATACTACACAATTATGCAAAATATAAGTGGAAAACGACTGTATTCTAGAAGATAATCGCAATCACATGTGAACATGCCTTTTTCTTCTTTTTTCTTTGTGTGGTCTTTCCTTTGGTCGGATGGAAGAGCTGAATATGTCAACACATGATGCGATTACCAATTCCTTTGGTGCTGCTGCGCTCTACTTTCCGCCTTATACTATAATACTTTACACATTGGCCACCATAATACTTCGGCTTAAAACTTGTAGTTAGATGTCACATTTTAGTTACAGCGTGCAATTTCATTGAACAAATCAACATTAATGTTCATCTAATAGGAATTGAAAACTAAGACTTCACTAATTAAAGATTGCACCTTTTAATTGTTCAACTACGATTGTTTATCACAAGCATTTTGATATTTATGCATATTTTTCTCGCCTTCTAATCTTTCCTTTTAGTCAATCGTGTTTCACGTATGCATACAAGAAATGAGCAATAACTACCCCATATAGTGACTATTTAGTTGTTGTTGTTGTTGTAACAATGATGTTGTCAATGTGAAATATGTGATAAAAAGCCAAAAACATAGGTAATAGCAACAGAATAATAATGACTAATGCATTAAAATATAGTTTAACATCATTGTTATCCAGCAACATACAACAAATAGCCACTATATGTGGTTACTCTTGCTCACTTTTCTTGCAGTGATGTTTAAACGCATTCTCGAGCCTCCGTGCAAGATGAATGACTAATTGTGATCAAAATAAGTTGAGTTCTGGTTTCAAATAAATTTGATATACTTATAAAACCTCATTACGCGCGGTTTCAAATAAATTTGTTATCCACGTTATACCCTAAACTCTAGGATTCTCTCTCCTCCTAGTCTCTCTCCTCTTTTCTCCCTTACTATTTGAACGGTTACGATTAAATCACATCAACGTTTTGTATTAATTTTTTAATAGCTAGAAGAAGACAAAAGCAATATATGAGAGGAGAAAAGATAAAAGCATGAGAATATGAGGAGAAAAAAATCCTACTCCGTTGATCACATAGTAATATTTCACATGCATCAATGATAAAGGTGCTCACTGTCTGTCCTAATCTTGATTTCTACAAAAACAATGATCATCGATCTAGGAATCATCTGGAGTCATTGGCCTGCGGTCACCAAGGAAGTTAGTTAGTTAGTTACAATCGATCAGCAGTGCACCAACTAACTATATAAGTGCACCACTCACCCAATCACTCTCTGCCACGTCACCCCATTTGCAAATTTTACCCTAATCACACACGCATTCAATGGTTCACTGAGGCGTGAGCGCAGTGGTTCCCACGCGGCATGCCAGACCGCCACAAAACGCTGACTTGTCACTATAAAATAACCCGGCAAAACTCCCTTCCTTCCTCCAGTTCCAATTCATTCCCCAGCAGAATCAATGACCAATCAAGACGACACGCCCCCGATGCAGGAAGAACGGGCAGCCGGATCACCGCCGCCAGTTGTTCCCACGGCTCCACCGATTAATGATGTGGAGAACCAGACCCCGTCCCACGCCAGGACTACTGGGACGGGGATTGGGGTCGGGGGGATCCTGCGGCGGTGGAAGAGGGAGGACTTGTTGAGGAGAGGCTCTCTGGCTCTGAGGGGACTTGCTTTGGTTTTTTCATTGCTGGCCTTCATCATCATGGCCAGCAACAAGCACGGCCACGGGAACAATTTCGACGAATATGAAGAATACAGGTGAGGGATCAAATTCGGTGATTATTTGTTAATCTGAATATCTGTTGTAATTAATAAATATTAAATTATTTTATATGATTTAATTTGATAGGTATGTGTTGGCTATAGCTATTCTGGCGACGTTGTACACAGTGCTGCAATCATTCAGACATGCACGCGAGCTTTCCACCGGCAGAGAAATGTCTCAGCGACGGACGTCGGCGTTGGCTGACTTCATCGGCGATCAGGTAATTTGTTTATTAATATCCTTCATTTTTCTAAAAAATTGTAGAATTTTATGATGAATACGCGTAAGCCTCCAATAATGACAATGAAGTATTAAAGAAAAGAAGGTTCTCCTAAAAGTCTGACTATTTTAGTCAAATAGTCTTGTGAGTAGCATAACTTTTTGTTTCGGTTCCTAAGATTTAAACTTGATAAAAGTGGTTATTAAGTTATACAACATTGATTATTTTAGTCATGCCGTAAAAAATTTTGTTAAATAAGACTAAAGTGACAAAAGGACCCTTAGTTTTTGTCAAATCACAACGGCCTATTATTTATTAAATTGAGGGTACTTTGTCATTTTTAGTCCTTATTTAATAGAATTTTTTTACGGGATAACCAAAATGATTGATGGTGGACAAACTCAGAGATCGCTTATATCGATTTCAAATCTTAAAGATCAAAATAAAGAGTTATGTCAATCTCATAAACTATTTTAGCTAAAATTGACAACGAAATTGGTAAAGGGACCATGACTTTTCATATGAGTGCCAACCACCACTTAACAAAACTAGAAATGCAAATGAAACAACTGACAAAAATTTGATTTGTGAGTTGATGGTGTGCTGCAGATTATGGCCTATTTACTGATATCGTCATCATCTTCGGCAATTCCGTTAACGAATAGAATGAGAGAATATCAAAACAACCTATTCACAGACGCCGCAGCATCCGCCATTAGCATGGCCTTTCTTGCTTTCGTTGCTCTTGCACTATCGGCTCTAATTTCCGGTTACAAATTATCAACTCAATCTTACATCTGATAGTTTATTACGAGCTTTATTTCATATTTGTAACAAAATGTGTTGTAATTAGGTGTACATTAATTCCTCTGCTTATTGGAGTTCAGTGTTCATATTTGGTTTTGAGGTGATTACCTCATTCATTTTAGATTAGGGATTATAATGCGAATAATATGATGAGATATGTATCTTGTTTTACACGAGTATAAAGACATATACTTATTGTTGATTGATTGTGGGTTGAATGCTCGTATTCTAACGATATGTATGTTGAACAATAGATTGGCTTTCTTTATTAAGAACTGAAGTTTCTAAAGTCACTTTACAATGGGATGTGCCTATGTAGGGTTGTATCCACTCTGGCTTTCTATCTCCAGAGCAGTTGGATTCGGAAATTTGAACCGCTCAATTTAAATCATATTGTCCTCATTAGCCCCATCCCACTGGTCCATTGTACAGAAAACAAAATCTTTACAAACAGTTCGGATCTCTCTCTCTCTCTCTTTAATGGCTTGGATTTCCAGATTTAATTACTCCGAACAGAGATCTGGATATGATCTCAACTCCCCAAATGCAAAGGTTCATTCCTTTGTGAGAGTGGCATAATCAACCACGTACTAATGAATTTTGTGACATGATCAACCATGTACTAACGAATTTTTTCTTTAGAGTGGGGTTGAGAGATTGTACAAAATTATGACTTCTAAAACTCTAAAAAGTTGGACTTGGAACACTGGCAGACATCGTATGGCTTTGTTGTTATATTTTGTAGATGTTAAGAGTTCTTGAAAAGCCTATTACTGAAAAACAGAAACAATTTAGTCTTTCCGTTATTCAGGCAGAGCCCATTAGGATTGGATTGGCTTTTTCTTTAACTACTTTTGGAACTTCAACAAATCCTAGTTCATATCATTCAACTTGTTACTTCTCTTCAACTTAAACTTCTTATCGCAACATGGAGCAAAAAGAATATACAAATGCAATACTACCAGTCTTTACATAATTACTACTTGGGAACTATACAACAAAATGTGTTGTCCTTTGCTTCCTTGGCCCCGAAGACACATCCTCGTGTAACATCATTTCCGATTTGCAGCGCTCTCAATTCGCTTTCAGAAGTCAGAAAATCCATGACTTCCTGCACTCTGCAACATTTTGAGAGTGTACGATTGGTTTTCAGTGGTTGCTGGCTGCCTTCTGTTCTGAATAGAGTTGAGGTAGCTCAAATTAGAATGGTTAGGCAATGCCAAGGGCCTCACAGCCATGGACACATTGTTGCTGTTATTATCGGCAGCAGGTCTACTTGCATTGCTATAATTCCCGCTGCCTCGCGCTGCCGGAACATCGTGGTTGTGCTTCCCTTCGTACGTGGTGATCACCGCCCTTGTGTCCTGCGATGCTCTCTCCACATGTTTCCTCACTGGACAACCTACGGACGTGCATTTGTAGTAGCTCCTGAAGATAGGAAAGCAATTGAAAATGTTAATTAGCAGCTAATTTCAAAAGGGGTTCCTTGTAGTTAAACACATTGATAGGGTTTCTACCTTGGATTTGGATTTCCCTTCACTACTTTCTGTCCATATTTCCTCCACCTATACCCGTCATCCAGAATATCGATTTCGCTCGTTGTCTGCACTACAATTCTCGGTTCTTTCACAATTCTACCGCCAGAAGATGCATATGACTGATCATTTGCATTGTCTCCCTTCCTGCAAAATATGATAAATAAGTTAAACAAAATTGAATTTTATAAAAAAAAAATTCTATGAACACATACAAAATTGGCAAATCCAGTCAGAAATTTGTATGAGCTTACCATCTTTTCGCCTCAGGTTCATTTTCATCTTCAGCTCCTACTGAATTACTTATTGGAGAGTTCTGTTCAAACTCATCCTCTCCAATTGAGGTAGAAGAATCCTCCTGTAGTGAGACGGACTCAACTTTCGGATTGGACAACGTCGGAACGGATTGATCAGAGATTCCATAGAAAGAACCCTGAATCGAGTTAGAGCTTGATCTTCTTGTAGACTGAGGCTTATGATGGTTGTGATTACCCTTGTACACAATTTGAGTAATCTGTCCATCCAATGATCTCTCAACCTTCTTCTTTGTGGGGCAATTTGGAAACGTGCACTTGTAATAACTCCGCGGATTTTCGCTACCCTTCACTTGTTTCTGCCCATACTTCCTCCAATTGAACCCATCATCCGATTTTTGTTCTCGAGCATATTGCGAAGATTGATTAGAATGCAAGTAATCGGACTTTGGAGCACCATTAAGTCCATTACTCTGCGTATTCGCTTCAATTGGCTCGAATTCGGACTTCACTCCCGCCTTCTCAGCATTAAAATCCCATGCTTGCCTTTCTCTTTTGAATGGTTCTTCCTGTTCAGACAAAAACGATCATTAAGCTACTAATATCGCCTAATCCTCTATGTTATCGCGGTTAAAAAAATAAAAAGAAAAAAGAAAAAGCTTCCAACTGTAATTAACTAGTAAACATAAGCGAAGAGCTCTTACCACTGAAACCATGCTAGAAGAAGATTGAAGATTAGTAGCAGGCCTCGATTCGGGTTGGAACGAGAAATCGGAGAACATTTTCGGCTCCTCTCTATCCTTAATTCCTTGCTGGGTGTCTTTAGTATCATTCATCCAATCGAAAACCTGACTCGAAAAAGCTCCTGTTGTTGGAGATTCAAGATTCTGCAGAAGAAGAAGAAGAAGAAAAAAAACCAAAAAACCCATCAATAAACACACAAAAAAGAACATAAAAAACCCATCAAAAATTTAAAATCGTATAAAATTTATATATCTTACATATGAGGAGGAGAGGAACATGGGTGAGCTGAGAAAATCGGTGGGACTAAAAGCCGGCGTGGAAGCCAAGTAAGAAGAAGGGGAAACAGGGGCAGGAGAGAGAGGCAGAGAAGGAGGCTGGAGTGACTTGAACTTGGGGATGTCAGTCCCGTTTCTGTCCGTGAACCGGATCGGATTAGAAGAATAGTCCGAGAATAGTCCCCCCCAATTAGTCCTGTCCTGTCCAATCCCGCCGTTCTCAATGTTGCTTGTGAGGAGGTGAGTGAAGGAAGAAGTCATGTTTTTTGCTTCTGGATTTGAGAGGAAAATGAGAGGGATGAGGTTAGCAATTTAAAGGGTTGAATGCAAGTGACATATGTAGGAAAGAGTGGAGATGGAGAAAGAGGGGGGTATTTTGGTCACTTTGGGATGTTTCTGGGAAGCTCGGTGAAAAGTTTGACCGTGGAAAAATGGAAGAAGTCTGGTCAAATCTTGTGGGTTTGACTTGACTGCGCAGAGTGCCAACGTAAGAGTGGGTGGCGGCTCATAATGCATAAGCTAGGATGATAATTTGGGAATAAGATTCTCTCCGTTTTCTATTTGGAGAGATTCGGATGATTACTCAATTTTATCAGTTTATTGTATATTATGCGATTAATTTTCGTTAGGCATTATTTTAAAATTTGAAATAATTTTTAACTGCATAATGTACAATAAACGGACATAATTGATTGATCTCTAGATTCCTACAAAAAGAATCCAAAAAGGATCTTTGTTCGACAATTTAACCCATCAAATTTGGTAATCGACACAAACGGTTTGGTTTTAGGATTAAATTTTGGTTGCTTCACGGTTATGGGTAGTGGCTCATTATGCACAAGTTCCTCCCCCGATGCGATTAGATATGGCGGCTTCGCCACCCTGTGCGTTCCAATCCGGCAACTGCCACCTTAACTTGTGAAAGTTGCGGAGCTTGGTTGAACGATTAAGTTGCCGGTGGCCTTGGTTCGAGTATCACAATCCTCCACAGAGATTAGCTAATATTGTGGTTCCATTCTCAGAGTAGTTGTAGCCATTTGGTTGCCTCATCTAGCAAGTTTTGTGGTCATGCTTTTGAGATGGTTGCATGTGGTTGTCACCCGTGTGTGATGAGTTATGTGGTATCATTTTCAACTATGACTTTATGTGATCTTGCTCTTCTACGATGATTTTATGTAACCTCGCTCTTGAATGATCATCAATTTGTTCACTTTATATTTATTGTGTCTATCATTTTTGTGACAAAACTTTACTGACGGCTTTTGTGCTTATGTGTTTGTGGTATCCATACAGAGATTTTACTCTAGTTGTTTAATTGTGTAGGTTCATTCTAGATCATTTACTCGGTCACTAGAGCTATGTAAATTGACACTTGTGTATTTGTTTATGTTGATCAGTGAATACAACTCTATCGTTTTTTATAAAAAAAAGTAACAACATGTTTCTTTTTAAGATTAACCAAAGAAAAAAAATGAAGACTAACGTGGACCAAGCATTAAAATTAAAGGGGAAAATTGGTAATGAACTCTTATTATAATATTTTGCTTGCAACCCTTTACACACCAATATTCCAACATAGAGATTTTATATTTGTCTTCTTTGGTTCATTTTTTTAATTTTGCACTTTTCTTTGCTAATTGACAGTATCACCAAGTTAAGCTTTGATTATTGCTTCATTTTTTAATGATTGTTTAGGTCAAGCAAAACATGAAATAAAGAGAGTGTTGCTACACCTACCTTATTATCCTATTTCTTCACTCACTTCATAATAAAAATATTAATGACATATTTATGTTTATAGAAAACAACTTTTAAACCCCTATTTATAAACTCATTATAAAACAATACTTGAGTAATTACTAAAGAGGCATTTTTAAAAATCCCTTAAACATGCAACCAAACACCTCCTCCCTCTTTCAAACTCCGTGAAATTCATGCAACTCACCCTTTTCTCCCTTTTCCTTCGCCTACACCAACCACACCTTCCATCGTCCTTTTTCACCACCGACGTCGCTGCAAAAGTCGATTATAAAACATAAAGCCGTATTTTAAAGTGAAATTCGCAGCGGATTTCATCTCTAACAATCTCACTGAGAGAGTGGAGTTGATGGTTGGAGAAAAGATTAAGGTAGTGTTAATGGAGGAGAGAAGTTGGAGGAGGGTGGATTTGGGGGTTGCCGGAGAAGAGAGCGACTGGTGATGTTGCTAGATCTCAATGGTGGAGGGTGGATTGGGAGTGAACACTGGAGAAATGAGGGACTCGGGATAGGTAGCTCAAGGAGTCGGGGTGGGTCGCCGGAGAATATTGTAATATTTAATATTTGTTCTCCGAAAATTTAAAAAGGAATTTAGATATACCATTTCAATTTTTTAACTTTTTAGGATGGGCGGGAT